AATAGATTTTTACAAGCTCAGTCTTTCAACTAATACTATCTTTAGGGCAAATGACATCCTGTATTGCAGTTACTTATACTTCAGCCTCTTCCAGGAAAGAAAACGAGAGCTTTCATGATTTGGAGGATATAGTTTATGACAGATTAATAAGAACTGCATATATCCAAAAGAAGAACTAGCTAAATCCTTCTGACACATGTGTACCATCCAATGTTAATGATGATTTCATTTTCTGGCCTTGATTCTCAATAGTCTGGAAAATGACTTGTCTACCCTGTGCAAGTGATTACTGCCACAGCATATGGAAACCAGACAGGCAGGAATGGATGAACAAAGCTAGATATGTAACTACATGCATACAGATATGTGTTTATATACTTCCATTCTGGAAACAGAATTCTGTTAGTGGCATTACTGTCTTTTAATTTTTCAAATAAATGTACCAATGCATAGAGCTACTTCTGAAAAACTACTTCTAAAAATTAGCTGTCCAAATGCAGGTATTAAATCCTATTTTTTAGATTAGCTCCCATTTTCAGTTAAAAGGATATATCATTATATTCTACTTTTTGGTGTTGAACGAATTCTACACAGTTTCTTTTTCCTACTTGGACAACCACTCTTGAGAGCACTTTATATGAGAGATGAAAGGTTGGAAACTAGTTAACACTTGAAAATTTCAACATACATATGAGCTGAGGCAAATACGTATCAGGGAGAAACATAATCTTCCACAAAGCAAAGTTTGAATTCCCACATTTTTCAATTGTTGCAATTAGCATTTTCAGTATATCTTTATTTTGAGGACTGAGAAATGCCTGTCACAAGGTCAGCAGGCCCCTTCCAGCTCCCAAGATCAGGCTAGAAGGTTGTGGGTATGGTGATAGATACAAGAGAGATTAATTGAAGCCTGGGCAAGAATGCCCATGTCCCAGAGAAGAATGGAAAGAGAGAAATAGAATCAGCACAGGTTTCCTGGTAACAGTCACTGACAAGTAAAAAACAAAAACCAGGGAAGTTCAACCTTCCTGACAACACCTGGGAGAAAAAGAAGTTTGAAGAATTTTTTTCTGCATTGTGAATGGCGCTGACTCCAAAATGCAACCCCTGACACCACAATTTACTTTAGATTTCCTTTCATTTTGCTATCAGATGCCAAAGAGAACATCAGGAACTAAACACCCAAGCTTCAACAGCACATTACTCTCTTTTCTGAAGAATTTAAATGGCTTTACAATACAAGCTGCATACAGTGTACCCAGCCTCAAAGTTCTGCCTTTCATTTTCTCTGAGAGGTTTCTTTTGTACTGGAAGTCAGTGGATGAAAGGAGCATCAGCTTTTCTAGAGGCTTTTTTTTTCTTTTAAAAGTTCTATGAAGTAGAAAATTTTGCAGTCTTTCTGTGGAGTTTTAGGAAAGATACAGGATGAGCTCTAAGTATGAAGAGAAAAGAAAAAAAGAAATTTAAGTACAGAAAAAAAATCAATATTAGAACTGCTTTTCACTAAAAAAAAAAAATAATAATCCCGTGTTCTTATCCAGGTTCTTCTGGAATCTTGCTCAGGTACAGGCCCAGTGAAGTCAGTCCAAAACACAGAAAGATACAAGTGGCTGCACACTGGCAAGTCTAGTCAGCCAATTACACCAAATTTGAATGCACAGAAAAATGCCCCTACATCTCAAAGCAGGAAGACTAGAGATATTTTCTCTTCTTGTGACAAATCAACCAATAGAAGTTTTCTTGAATACAATCAAATAAAAGCTCTGTTGTAATCACAAACTTTGTTTCAGTATTTGTTTTAGAACTGGAGCAGAAACATTGAAGAAAATTCAGATGGTGCTGAAAATTCAGTACTGTTGCTGAGAAAACACTGTGAGCTGCAGAAATCTTCCTTCTGCAGTGATGAAATTGAAGGTTGCACTGCCTAGATGCCAGAAAATGCAACACCACAGATGTGAGAGATGTCTGACAGTTCAGCAAATACGAGAATGCATGATTTCCACTACACTAAGTTACCTCTGCTTAGTACACATAAAAGCTATGAGATAAAACAGATATATAAATTTTGTGTTTCATAGAAGGTATTCTGCATCTACATAGCATCAGTTGGGGGATATCAGAGTGATGAATTAATATTCTGTGCTTAGGTCCCTTACTCGCTTCCCAAATTACATGGTGCAACACATTCAGGGGCTCATTAAGTTTCCAGCCATTCCTAAACAGCAACAGGTGCTTGAAAAACACTTCTCCAGCATGTCACAGACGGCTTCATCACTGTCTTGGAAATAACTGACTGCACTTGTGTTTGCTCCATGGCACTAAACGACAATGCTGAGAGACAGCAAAAGAACAGGAAGAACTCCCAAAACATCCGCATGGACACAGTGAATGAGTCTAGAAAAATAATTAGTAACAACCCTGCTGCATATTCTGAATTCTGATGTGATACTTGCATGTCCATCCAGTACTGCAATCCATTTGGATCCCAATGTCATGTTAAACCAAGCTCTAATGGGTTTCTGGGAATATACACTGATTAATTAATTGAAATGGCATTACAAGAAGCTGAAACTTTCCAGTGATTAATATTTATTAATCCTTTAAGAAGTCTGGATATTCTTTCAGGAACACTAGACTGGATGCCTTGGGAATTTTCTTCAACCATGAGAAGAAAGATGAGATGCAGCTGGAAAGCTATGATTCTCTTCTTGCTGCGGCATTTGTGTTTTCACAGGCTGCTTTAACATTTGTAAGGAGTGCTACGTAGGTGCAGGGTTACCTAAGTATTTCATAGTACAGACTGACACTGTAGAAAGTTTCATTCACAAGAAGGCAAATTTGTAGTTCAACGGATAGATCAGAGGAGACTTCAATTTCTTAAATGGATGGTCATGGGATAAATACCTAAGACCAGAAGAACTACATCTAAGAGTTTCCTGTGTATAGAATAAGCTTGTGTCTTGATTTTGTTTTCTCTACCTGAAAGAACTAATGGAAATTCTTTGAAAATTGGGAAACATGGAGTCTCCTTTTCCCAATTTCTTCTCATATACCTTGAAGAAGTCTGTTTGCATTGGAGTCTCAATATCCAACAATTCCACAGCTGTTTAGAACATAACAGCTCTGTAAACATGATCCTGAGACAGCAAGTTCGTTTGTTCAAAACTGCTTGTGTGCTTTGAGACACTGTATATCAAATGGAAATGAACACTTGCTGTTTATTTACCTGATTTTCAGAATGCTTGTCTGGGGGACAGTTATAAGCTAAATCTGTACACCTAGAAGAATTAACATATTTCAGACATATTTGCCAATGAGGGCTAACTGTTCAAAACTGTTTAAGCAGAAAACAAACAGAACATAGTAATTTCTAGAACATCCAAAGAAGACAAATTTTGAGAATATTCTGTAACTCCAATTGAAGTGGAAGAAGAAAGATCAAAAAGCACAGTGAGAATCCTAATGCTTTTTAGCTGCAAGGGATCTCATCAGAAACTTTTGTAGAAGACTTTTGAGTCTTTGATTTTTCACTTCACATTTTGCCTTTTAGGTGGATTTGGAAGCCACCCTCTGAGCCACTTTTACCACCAACAGATAAAGCCTAACAGAAATAGTATTCTAGATCAGATATTTAGTTGTTTTAAAGTTCCATGCTGAGATATAAATGAAACTATATAGTTTGCATGAACAGGAAACCACGTAGACCAGCCATAACCCCAGCTGGTTTTGGTGAGCGTTCCCAGGATGCTGGCACTGACCTCCAGCTAAGCTACCTCCTTGCTTCCTAGGAAAGCAAACAGACCATGGATTTCTGTTGAAGATGCTTTTGAAAATACAGTTTCATCACAACTCAGCTACATGATCTTTACCAGTTGGTGTAGAGTTCATTCTTGCAGAAAAAGAATGTCCACCCTGGGAACCATATTTTCAGGTATGACAATACACAAACTTTAATATGCACTTTCAATTATTCCCATAATTCACTAGAAACACAGAAAGGACATTATGCATGAACGTTGTGGCAATTCACAAGTCCTTTGAGAAAACCACTGTAAATATTGCATTCCATAAGATAGATACTGAATCCTATCGAAGCAGACAGAAGTTTGGCCTTCGGCTTATCCCTCTTTTTATTGGAAAAGCAATATAAATCATCTCCTGAGGTATGCACAGGCCCATCATGGAATGCAAACAAGAAGTTTCGAAGAGATTTTGTCCTCCAAAAGGAGGATCTTTGCCACAAAGGAGGAGCAGCCAACCTAACAAGCACTCCCTCAGGATATGCAAATCCTGACTTTGCACAGCATTGTACAGTTGCAGCTCAAACTGCCTAAGAGTCTGCAACTCCCAGTGCAACCACTTATGCCAGAGCTAAACCAACCACATGTCTTTTGCATCAACTTACCTAAAGATCCCAGACAAACCGGAAGCCAGGAGCTAAACCAGGTATTAGACCAGGGACTGTAGCTAATACTGAATAGAATCTTATTAAAACATTTTGACTTCACAGTGGAAATCATTTCTGTGTAATGGAGCAGAGAGTATTTTTGTTGACAGAGCCAGTTCTCTGCAGTCTGTGTATAATGAATGTAGTTTGCTGGCTGGAGAGACCTGGTAAATTCTGTAAGATTACTGCTACTGGAAAGCAGCCATCAAAATGGGAATCAAGTAAAACTTTGTACAATCACAATGTCACAAATGACAAAACTCCTTCATTACAAAGAAATATAAAAGACTACTGATATTAGATATTTTTAAGCAGTAGAATCTTTATTTCCTAGATAAGGCAATGGTTTGCTTCACATTTTACTATAAGATATACTGTTTCATTACTTAAACCAATTTCCCATGCAAAACCTTCCTGTGTTAATCAGAGACAATCTCAATATCAGAGACTCAGATGCTGTATGAGCACAGTAGGACTACTTTAGTCTCACCCTTGAAGTCCCTCCCCTCCTTGTGGTGCCCCCCCAGTACCACAGAGACTACAGTTTATTTACCTTTATCCCAGGGAGTCCAGGAAGCCCAGGAAGACCTGGTTCACCCTATACAGGAAAATTGCATAATATTACAGACATTATTCAGTTATGGTCACTATGCAGTGAACACACCTAGATATTCTGTAGCAAAATAAAAGAGCACAGGTGACTACTAGTCAGTTCAAGCGGGACTGATATTTTCAAAATTAGTGATTTAGATGCAACTCTCTTAATGTACCATTTAAGAATTTAAATATCTTCTGGGAACCTCTGATGCTATGACAACACCAAAACCCACATCAGAAAAACCGAGAATGAATTCTCATAATTTTGGCAACTAAACGAGAAGAAAACAAGCAACATTGGTTCATTTCCTACGCTGCCATTTAAATTCCATGCTTACGACAGATGTTTAATTCTGTTCCATTATCAACTCTGAGATAGATGTTGTGCTGCCTGACTGCCTGATTTAGCCACCATGCAACTCAGGTTTAAGTTGTGCAATTCGAGCAGAACTACCTAATTACAGCTGGAGCACTGTTTTTATAGAGCTATCTGTTGCATTATTTCACTGCTTGATATGTATCTATGAATATACATGGTGTCATGAAGGCTAGTGATAATATAACCTTGTATTGCTTTACCCAAAAATATCTTGCTTATTTAAAATTGTAATATAGTGACCTGTAGCACAGCATTTAAAAGGGTAAATTAGTAACGAGGATTAAGAACTGAATGTATTTCCTTTGATGCAAAGTTGATATTAGTCTAACACAAGAAAGGCTAGCACAGCATTCTGACATGTGGCCATTTTGAGATACCAACTAAACAGAAAGATGTCATCTAGGGAAATAAAAATCATGAATAGAAAAAAAAAAAAAGTAGTAGTAACATGTGAAGAAAACATTATTTTAAAGGCTGGAGATTTTACTTTAGTACACAGATGGATTCAAACCAATGCCTTGGTTGTGAATATTCCCTGAACTTTCTGGAACCGGTCTGAACTCCGAATCCAGCTTTTTCCTTTATAATGAATTGAACTATATTCCAGCTTTTGTATGTGCTTGAGCTTTATAGAAATCCACATTTCAGCTCTGTGGTTAGGACTACAGCTTTTGCTATTATAATATTTTACTTGTGTATATACACACACATACACATATTTGTACATGGAGCTACAGATAGATACATACATACAAACAAACGTATATATGCATAATATAAATGTTCTTACAGTACCCAAAAACTCTACTTTGAGACAGTAGTACTAAACAGACTCAAAGTGCTCGTAACAAAATTATATTCTGTCACAAACTGAAGAACACAATACAGGGGCTGCAAATTGCTTTACCAAATAGAGTAACTTTTGCATATTATGGAAGGATCTGATAATACATTTCAGTTACTCCAACATTTTAAGTCATCAGACTACCTAAAAGCACAGGAAAGAATCCACTCTTAAAACATTAACTATAAAATTAGATGAAAGAATGGTGGCTAGGATACAATTTTCAGTAGACTCCACTAGATCTTGGTTTATTGCCTAACACTTAGTAAAGCAGGAAATGGGTTGTCAGTCTTGCAAAAGAATAATCCATTACAAAGTCTTCATTACACCCATTCCTGATGAAGTGCTGGCTCCAAAATCTCTCTCTGTCAAGTCAGCTGGGCAGCCACACACCACACTACTAACATTACTTTTTCTTATCCAACTTCGAAACACTAAGTTCAATTCTAAGCACAGCATATGAATGATCACAATCGATATATCTATTAGTATTGCTGCAGTAGGTGACTGTTTAATCTTGGGACAGTTCTAAACCCTAGGGACACAAACATAACAAGCAGAAAGGATCCAGCAAAGCCAGTTTGTATTCACAGCAATCTAAAACACTTAAGATGCCTGTCCAAGATACATCAAAGAATGTCATACATAATGAAATCACGAATGTTTCATTATAGTTAGCATTGTAGATGAGTGTTTAACACTTTATTTTGTGGACTTTTTCTAATACGAAAGATACAAGCACGATTTATGAGAGGAATAATTTTTAAAGAAGGAGAAGCTGTATACTAACTTCTCATCACACTAAGTTTGTTCTGTCGTGATACGATATGTGGCACACAACAGCCTTGACAGGCCACTCAGGCACCAACACATCTCATTTAATGTAAGTATTATTAAGGTGGGTAGCTCAATATTTACCTGTTCTTAGAAGATGGATAAGGAGTAACCAGAAGAGGAGGGAGAAGTAATATATAAGGAAGGAAGATACAGAAAGGAAAAAAATAATGGGGCATGAGGGAGAAGAGAGGTAATACAAAGGGATGAGACACAAGTTTGTTCGGACAAAGGACCCCACAGCTCCTGGTGGGGTGAAAGGCAGAGGCAGAGTGGTAACTGTGGGACACCTGGCTGGAGGACACACTCAGAGCAATCACATTATGGGACCTGCTGGCCCTGGCTGGAGACAGGGAGGTGGCATACTGGGAGCTTGTGAGGTGATGTGGAAAGAACACATTAAGCTCCCTTTGGTGCAAACAACAAGCTGACACTATAGAAAGTCTGAGCTGTGTACTTCTCACTTATCTATGTTACATAAATGAGATCAAACCTGAGTGCCTGGAGACAGATCCTGCAGGAGCCTGCTGATAAATCACTGCTGCTTTTACCTCCATGGCAGCCAACTAATGCGAGAATGAATCTCAACAGGCTCTTAAGTGCATTTTCTAGTTTATTGTTCCAGCAAAGCACACAGTAGAGAATGCACATGCTGAATGATTTCACAGACTAGATAGCTTTAGGCTACTATGATTACTTTCTCTAATTAAAACTCTATTTTACTAAAGAACTGCGTTTACTACTGTAACAGTCTTTGTTTAGTCTGTTATAAGTGATGGTAACTAAAATTTCTCAAACAAAAAGACTCAACTTGTTGTTTTATATTAATAAGTGTTTTGAGATTTTTCTTAGTCACCTAAAGGCCTTGAGTATTAGAAAACAGTAGTCGTGCCACTCACTATACAGCTGGTGGGCTGAAACATCTGCACACTCAACCTTCTACTGGGCTCTGCTCCACCCTAACAGCAGTAGGAAATTTTCCATGTTACAAGATACAAGAATGATGCTGAAGGCTCCAGGGGGAAACCAAGTATTGCAGAGCAAAAATCTGGTACCCTCATTGTCTCTTTTCTTTGCTCTTCCACCAGCTCTCCCAGCAGGACCTACCTCCTACTCTCCCGAAAGGCAGCTGAAGGCAAAGCATTCACTGTTTGATGTACTGTGGATTCAAAAGGGAAATTACCCAGCTTCACAGGGCCTCATGCAGCACAGAGCGATTACAGCTCCTGATGGATCTTTACTTGCAAAAACATCATCAGCTATGCAGCACCCAGGGGAATTTCTTCCCCAGGAAGAAAGAATGGAGCAGCATTACCCAGTCTCTGCCCTCCCACACACACTGCGCATCTCTGATAGTTTGATTTTCCTTACAAGTACATAGGAAAGGGTTTCTAGTCAGCATTTATTTTCTTCCTAATTAGATGTAATAATATACCACAGGCTGAAGGTTAATACTCAGTCAAACATGCAAAGTTAGCTTGTGATCATTCAAGTAGCAGAGCCATTTGTTGTTAGTCTTGCCAGCTGCAATTGGGTGAGCTTTCAATGCAAGAAGTGCTATGATGCTAGAAGAGGAGGTGTGTTATTCTGACACTGCTTTTCACACTAATTAGTGTTATCATTCCTGTGCTTTTTATAATACAAAATGATCATATGCCATATTGTACAAGCTGCTACATAGCACTACATTGGGCTCATCCTAGTGTAAAAACAGTTTAACATAACAAGACTTATCACAATCCAACAGTAAAGAAAAAGAACACAAACATTTCCAACTAATACCTTTTGTCCGGGCCGTCCTGATTCACCAGGTTCACCCTAAACAAAAAAAAGAAATGAAAGGCATGATATCCATCAAAAGGAATTAAAAATAGGGTTGGGGAAGATCGTAACATTACCTGAAACGTCTGTGACACAACAAAGTAACACTGATCAGCCACCCCTCTTCTCCCTGCACAATTGCTTTCAACACTTAATTACCTTAATTCCTGCAGCAGATGAACCAGGATCACCCTGATAGAAAATCCACAAGAAATGATCATGCTTATTACATATGCAGATTTTAGGAAATAAATACAGCAAAACGTGCAAGATTATAGCAAGATGATACAGCAAAATAGCTATTTAGCAAGACTATCTGCTCTCTGTGATGATACATAGGAACTTACCCATTGAAATTAAATCAAAGGATTCATAAAAGAAACCATATTATTTTCAAAAAAATTCAGAGAGAATTAGTTTCAAAAAGTATACTAAGTAAACCCAAATTTCACAACTAAAAATGCAGATACAATAATTGCTGATTTTCTTTAAAAAGCTGGAAGATGGGACACCGTTCGGCATCTCTAAGTTGCTGACATACATTAAAAATCATTTACTGCAATTTACGAGTGATCTTTTTGATTTGGTTCTACAAATCTCAACTGACATGGCCTTTTGTGCAAATCAAGATGAGCTTTGAAAAAAATCAGCAAACTATGCATTTATCACCATCAGGACAGGTCTTAGCTCAATTTCCACAGCTCTTCAGCCTGTTTAGACTGTTAAGACAATGCAGCTAAGTGGTGCACATGATGGGATGAGGCAGTTACAGCAATTCACGTAATTGGGAAAGCTCTTTCTTCTAAGGACACATCTTGCCTTCAGAAAGAGTGTCCTGTTTTCTGCTTGGTTGACCAGGCTATAGGTAGTGATATGCGCAAATTCAGAGAACTGCTGAGTGAATTGGTAAGGAAGCTTTCAGCTCCCAGTTTGTGTTATTATCACAGGATCCTCCAAATTCTTAAATACTCAGTTTGCTGCACTTTTTTCCCCCCTACACGACATACCAAATAAAGATGGAGAAAATCAAACTGATGAAAAATTGGGTAGTTAAAATAGAGGCTGCCAAAGATGGCTGGAGCACTTATATTTGAATATTAGTATTTATTATTAAAAATAAATTTGGATTACTCATTGAAAATAACACGTTGCTAGATGGCAGTAACTGCAAACTCTGCAAGAGCCTGTTAGCAATTGATAGGTAGTATAGAAGCCAACAGTGTTATCCACTTTGAAGATGTCTAAGCAGAATACCCATTCCTGATGGCTCTGTGAAGCTGGAGGAAGCATTCTGTGAACAGTGGAGATTCAGAGTTGGTTTGGGGGTTATTTTTTGTAATAGCCCAATAAAATTAAATGGCACCAGAAAACACGCTCACTTTGTTTTAAAGAACAGAAACAGAATTTCCTCTACACAGTTGCTGCAGCTCTCTCGTGTGAGTTAAAAACAATAAGTCAGTTTTATGAAGGGTTGATTCATGTCTGGAAACCTGAGCTGCCTCTTCTTGATAGACGTGCATGAGTGATACTGCTGATATCCCTTACAAGCATGTACAACTGCAAAGCTTCAGGGACTTTTTATAGCTGTAAAGTGGTAAAGCAACTGGTAAGAGACGTTCACAAGTTAAACATTTTAAGGGATAATGATTGATATGGGGAGATAAGAGCGTTAAGTATTTATAATCCAACTTCACATAAGAATGAAAATTAATATGGGATTAAAAGAAAAAATATGGCACAGCATGTTCTCTGCTCTCTGATGAGTCAGACCATTTGGAAATGAAGAAATTTTAGCAGGGGAATGTGCACATAGAAGAAAAATACTTGGTAGTTTCCAGGGGCTAAGTCTAAGAACTCACGTCTGACACTGATACTGCCTTCAGAGTAGGCCAACTCAGAAAAGACAGTTTCCTTTCTAAATCTTGGGTCAAAAAGTACTGACCCGAGTCAGCATCTCTGATAGCCACTGGGTACAGCAGTTCAGAAAGTAAAGCTAAATCAACTGTACAAATAGGAACCTGTTCAAACAAAATTTAAAATGGTTGTCACCAGACCTCTGTCACATAGCAAAATTAAAATTTAGCATTTATCTTACAGAAACATGATTTAATCTTTTAAAGAAATGTTTTACAATTTGTGATCTATAAATGAAATGTCCTAAACATCTAGTGTTATCATTTAAGTGTAACGGTCCCCGCATTTATTTATATAAAATAAATGGCTTTTTCTTTTTTTTAAACCAAGCAAGTAGGAAGCATACATACAAATGGCTGAACATCTGGGAACTGCACCAATACTAGCCTTACATCACCTCTGAACAACACTTCCAGCAGATCTCTTAAAATGTCTTTTAAAAATAGCGCCTCAGAAAGTCTTGAACTCCTCTCCACAAGTGTTCAGTTCACAAAAACTCTCAATACTCATCTGGTAGTGAAGTTCTGTAAAGTAACACACACTCTGGACATTTCAGAGCTACCCAAAGAGAAAGCAGAGAGCATACATAAGAACATAAGAATAATGCTTTAATGAGGCTGCCTGTGAGATTTGCTGGTCTTGATTCCTACTGCTCCTTTTAAGACAACAAAAAAAGGTCAGAATTTTTTGTATTAACCTCCCTGCCCTGATAGAAAATACCCAGAGGAAAATACAGAAGAAAGGCTTCTGTGCTGCTTTGAAATCCTGCATTATAGCAGAATAGTCTGGTAAGGGTAACTGTTCAAGATGATTATAACACCAATGAAAAAAGTACAAGCAATACAGAAAAAAAGATACACAGAGAAAAAAAAAAAAACATCAAGGCTACTTTGTGAACATATTGAATATGACTGTAATAGGCTTTCTTAGATTCTCTAACACTAATGCAATTAACAACTGCTGGGCAAATTCATTCTTGAATTTTATGTGATGGTCATACAGCACAATATTTGCCCTACAGTGAAGAACAGGAAAGAGTATCCTCCTTGTTAAATAGCACAAATGTAATGTAAGGACACTGAGTTTTATGCTAGTTCCTATATTATCTGTTGAAGTACGTCCTAAAGTTTCTACCAAAGCTATCTTTCAGAAACAGTAATTTGCAGTTCTACTATAAGACACAGATTTTTTTTTCTTGGGTGGCAGATTGCCTTACAGGCAGGGAAAATGGCTGGGCAAAAAACGACAAAGGCCAACCAAGCCACGGTTTTGCTTATTCTGTCCTAAGAATTTGTGTGGTGGATGCCTGGCTGTTACTGTTAGAGCAATGAGCTTCATGCAAACAGCATGTATTTCCATGTCACCACAGCACCTCTGAAACTAACATGAAACTTTGAAGAGTTGGGAGACATCTGTATTAGTATGGTAAAAAATTTATTGATATTTCTTCAGATGTAGAAATATAAGTTCTCCCAATGACCTACTTTTTCAGAATTTGATCCCAAACATTTTGAGGCTCACAATAATATATACAACACTATAGTAATATTTACAACACTATATATATGAAAAAAAAAAAAGATTTCTCAGTGAAAGAGGTAGAGGAGTTTTTCTTCCCTTAAACAAGATTTCAAGCAGTCAGATGCATGCATTGCAGACCACGGTGAAGCATGGGAATACAAATGCGTGCATGCTCACTCTCACAGCAGATACAGAAGAAAAGCAACAAGGGAAGCTCCACTTAACAGAGAGGTTAACTTCCCACTTATTTGCTACAGGACTATGTCTTAAAAATAATCTCATATTTTCCTAGAAATTATGTTATTAAATCTTGTAAAAATGGATTAAGAAGGCTTCACTGGCATACCTTGTCTAAGCAACTAAAAAAGGTTCTTAAGATTTTAATCTAGGCTAATAAACATGACTACAGAGGAAGTATTATATAAATGAACTGAGAATCAAAAAATTTACTATTCTTATACATAATGACTATTTTTAGTACCTGACTTTAGAATACACTCCATAATAACTTTATGTTCTTGAATACTGCTTCCAAACGATAGGGCCTGAGAGATTTGCGTGCATTGCTTACTATGTTGATAAATCTGGCAAACTTCTTGCACTACACTCTGATTTGAGTTGGTTATGCAATTAAACATATGGGGTGGGAGACAAGAATGTTTTTATGCTTCTGCTCAAGTATAGTCACTGAAAATAACGCTTTTAGAAGCATACGAGTTCCAACTTGTGGTAATAAGCTGTATGCAATCTCTACTCAAAAAAATACACAAAGAATACAAAAGATTATGGAGAAGATCATTATGGCTGGTCCTTCTTCCCGTACTATGGGTTTCTTTGTATACGTAGAACACAAATACTCAATTTCAATTTCGATCTTTTCTGCAGGGGTACAGAACAAATCTCAAATAAAATAAAATAAAATAAAAAACTAAATAACACAATATTTTGATGACGTCAGCTACTTTTTCCCATTGGTACTTTGCAACAATGAGCTAACAAGGTATTAAGTAAGGTTGTTATTGATATAATCTGGTAAAATCTTCTAAAATTTTGTTTTTATCTTCAACTGTCAATTGCTTAGCTGGCTGTTTGGAAGGAAGTTAGCTATCACAGTATCACATTGGTTTAGTCCCTTTCTTTGTAGAGAACAGAGAATGGGAAATATGAACAGCTAAGATATACCAGAAAGAGATATAACTCATCAGACACAGAACCAAAAGCCTGGGCAGATTGCGACCAAGTTTTCTGAACAATGCATATTTTAGCTAAGAGGAGTGATGATTAGAGACTGATGCACTCTGATCTAAAGCTGCTGCTACATAAAGTCAGGAACAGAACAGGGACATTTTCCCACTGTTTACAAGAGTGAATTCAGTCAAACTGTTCAGCATTTTTAATAAGAAAGTTTCTTTTGTCAAATTTTTATTTTCACTAGTTGATTAGACTGTAAACACATCTACTGCACATGCTTTCCTCTCTACTGATAAGTAGCATACCTTTTCTCCTGTGTCACCCTTTGGTCCATTTTCTCCAGCATCACCCTGGAATGAAAATACATATTTTAAAAGATGATTTTATGTAAACACACAGTGTGCAGAGAGGAGTCAGCATTCAAACATTATTGGCAAGTTAGTTTTATTAATCAAGTAGCCAATCTATCTACTACACGGCAGGAAGTGTGGTTTTTATAGCTGCTGTATCTGTCGCGTATAAACCCACAAAAGTACATAAACTCTCAGATAACTATCTTCCTGTTGGTATGGTCTACAGACTTCCACAATTCATTGTGGTTTAGAAATGAAGGAATGATTTCATGATGGTTCAGCATTTTAAACTGGTGGCGCATAGTTCTCCAGAGATACTCACCTAAGCATATCTAATCAAATTCAGGTAAGTTATCCAATTCCAATACTTTTTATTAGATTTTCAATGATGTATGTTATAAACTGCTTGAGTTTGAAGCACTTCCATGCATGATTCACAAACCAGAAAACCTTCACTGATCTCACCCCTCCAGATAGCCACCAAAATGTTTATCTCTACATAAATTTGATGTGTTGTGTGTTATTAAGAAAAGTGATATTCAAACAACACTCCTTTATGCCTGGGCAGATATTTCTCATTTTAAAAATAACTTTTTAAAGAAATGCTTCAAAAGATTTATCTATAAAATCCTATTTTTATTAATTCAGTATAGTAACACCCAAGTAAACCAAAAAAGTCTGTTATATATGAGGACCAAACATGCCTGTGAGACTCAAGTGGAAGAAATATACAAAATACCAAAGGTACTGATTGACTCTAAACATGCCACAACCATTTTTGTGGGTCTTGGCCAGACAACCAGTAAAAATATTCAAATAACACTATTAATTCAGCACCTGTCACATTGCTCTGAAAAGCTTAATGTAAAATTCCTCTCAGAGGACTTGTACAGGATGGTCACCAATACAAGGGTAACTAGCAAAAAACAAGCAAGTCTTTAATTAAGGGCTTGAGTCATGGAGTTGTGCAACAGTAATCGCTAGGAATGTCATTCTGAGTCCATTTGACATGATAACGTACATATACGACATTTACAACTACATTTTTTAGGGAAATATAATGGATGATTATGTTGAAATATCATGAATTTAAGTAACAGAAATCCAGTACAGGTAAGTATTGTTATACTGCTTTTGTGCTTGAAAATGAACAAAGGATTACTGGAGTTCTACCAGAAATACTGTTTTAACAAAAAGGTTTGATTTTTGTGAAAAGAGATTCCTACTTATATATTCTACATGTAGGGTAAAAACATTCAAGATTTCCCTTGATAATAACGTGCTTTAGAATACATGAACTGCAACTGGTAATACATGGTTTTACACAGATCTGGAAGTGAAATTCAATTGTAGCTGAAAACTGAAGCCACATGAGCAAGCACTTCTCAAGAGCAAATAACACCTGAATACAAGCAGCTTAGTTTTTAAAAAGCATGGCTCAATTTATTCACAGGAGATGAGTCTGTGTAAAGATGCTTGTTCAAAATAAGGCTTACAAAATAAGGCTCAGGTTGCCCCTGCAGAAATGCAGAAGTTTGATTTGCACTTAGTGTTTACTCACATGAGTGCTCCTGCTGGTATCTTTATATGGGCAGAATCACACCCATGTTTTGCAGCATGGAGCTCATCTTGTCTCTGTGTGACTGTATATGATCTAGAGTTTGCGTAATTACCACTCTGTTACCAAATTCTTTTACTCCCTGCAGGTAACAGAGCATCAAAACCAAGTTATGAGAAATGTTTGGCACTACCATTTATCCAATCACTCATCTTTTTCTGACATAAGCATTAGACATGGATAGGTGCAGAGTTCCTCAGCTGTTCAGCAACTAAGGCATGAGCATTGCTATCCATGAGTAATCAAGCTACAATAATCTCAGAAGGAGTAACTGGTATTCGTATTATTTGATGTCAGAAAAAGCTGCATAATGACTCTCAAGTTGTAGCCTACAGCTGCATTTTTATTTATTTATTTTTAAACTAAGAATCAGTGCGCTGACAGCTTTCCAAAACAGAACAACAGCAAAGGAAGTGGAACAGGACTCACCTTTTCTCCTCTTTCTCCAGGGTCACCCTGAACAAAGCAAGTGGAGCAGAGAAGTCATAAGTTATTAACACGAGTAAAATTCCAAGTTTAAGTACTATTATCAGTCATAATTGATGACACTTTTTCAAATGATAAAAATCCAAGGCAAAATCTTCAATAAGCATTAATAAATAAATTTAATGGAAGTCAATATACAATACATTTTCAGTACAATTTTAAAACATTAGTGATTTGTATGTAGAATTTTGTTTTGTTTCAAAGTTTTTCTTCCTGTTTTGTTCTAGATTAAACCTTCACAAATAGGTGCATGTCTCTGTGGGATGGCCTTCTGGGACAGAAGGTGACTCCTGCATTTTGTTTTCCTTATCTTGGAAATAAATGAAAGACAAATTTACAGGCTGAATGTAGGGTGAAAGTCATATGACTCTATTAATGGCTTAGGAGACTCTGTGGGAGAAACAGAAAGCCGTAAGTGACTCAAACAAATTCACAACTGATTTAGAGCAAAGAGCCTTTACTGCTTCTAACATTTTCTGGAAGAAAACGATCTTTTAGCCACTATTTTAAAAATCATAACTTATTTGAGAAACTAGCTTAATGGCAAACTCACATTGGTGCACTGAGCGTGACCCTGACAACTCATCTCTGTGTTTCTGGCTCAGAAATGCACCCTGCCTCGTCTTTGCCCCTTCTGATGGCTGGCAGTTGCTAGGCAACTCGAAGATTACAGTTGTGCATATGAATTAAGCATTAAGTGCCACAATTTGGCTTCTGTATACGAAATAAGAAAAGGTCACGCTCCCAAATGGTGCGTTTTCATCCCTGATGGACAAGCAGCCAGTCAGTAAACGTAAAGAGCCTGCCCTGTGTGTCTGTCAGCAGCAGTGTGATGCACAGAATCAGCTGAGGAGCACTTGTGCACCAAAGACATGCTCACAGCTGATGGGATTAGAATTCAACATTACCCATTCCAAGAGGCCCACCGATCACATCATCGAGCTTGCTTTTATACAGAGTTATAAGCTTTACGTTCCATTCCACTCATTCAATATCAAAACAGGAGAAAAATAATCATTTAACAACAAAATAAATGCAAAGAGAGACTCTGACACATCAAATATGGGCCCAGACATGTTCTTAGTGCAGTCTATTGCTGACTGCCATTATAGCAGGATCAGCGCTCAAGACTTAACCCTGACATTCATCAAAGATTTGACCATAGTGGCTCTTGAAAAGAAGCCTGAAACACATTGTAAAGAGTATAAACAAAGCCTCTCTGAAAAGGTCTCCATATTCCCAAACACTTGCAGGCATATTACATTCACTTGGCAATGGATGCGTATGCGTCAGTGCCACTGACTGGAATTATATATGCACAGCAGAAGATAATGCTTCTTTATGGTGCAATGTGTAAAGCCTCTGACAGTGCTGATCACTAGAGAGAGCAGATCACTAAAAGCCAGTCAGAATATAAACACTGCTTGGAAAGAACAAATGTGATCTATATGCACTCACGTACCGCGTGCTTTTGTTTTTAATCCATTTCCAGTACTAACCTTAAGCCCCGCTGCTCCCTTCTCCCCCGCTATGCCAGGCAAACCAGGTTCTCCCTAAGAACACACAAAAAAGATGCAGTTAACAAAGACATGACAAAATACATATTAACATCATTTCACCGTCTCATATTAAGTGGACTAAATCTAATTTAAGCTCCTGTAGAGATAAGAAATAATTCTACAGAAAGCACCAGAAATACGCATGTGTGAAGCTAAACAGAAAATAGAACTGAGACTTATGATTCTGAAAAGCTGCTCAATTTACCTTAAAAGCAGTCTTTCCAGCAAGGCTAGCATTACTTCTCTCTTTCCTACAACTCAGAAATACTGCAAGAAAGGCTTATCTTAAATGACTTCGACATTCTGGTCCTAAGGAAGACAGACGGTGATGAAAAATGAAACGGGTTTATCCCAGAAACAGAAGAGTTTGGAATAGATAGCTTTTTAATTTTTTAAATATACCTTGCTTGTCAGTTTTACACACTCCAGTACCACCAGCTAAAAATTAGATTTAAAAGACTTTAAAAACTTCAGCATAACATTAAAGATCCAAATTTGGGGTATTTTAATATATAGTAGACATAGACAAGCTTGTTCCACAGCTTGAAGAGTGGCAAGTAATTTTCATAAGTCAGTCAATAAATGACAATTACTTGTAAACTTCTTTTTTTCTCTAAACTGAAGAAAAAAAAAAACAACCGAAAAAGCAAATAACAAATAGAAAAACAAATAATTCTCAATGATATTTCCTGGTGTTCATTTCCCAGATTCACTGAAAAAAATGCATGCATTATTTGAGAGACATGATATATCAATGGCTTACTGGTAAACATCTAGGGTTGATGACTGAGTAAAACCTTTTGTGGAAGTTATGCCTCAAATTCACAACAAATATGCATATTTTTTGTAACCCTCGCCTACGCACTAATGCATTGCACTTCAAGGTGGGAAAGCATGTTAAAGCAGCATCCAAAAGAACAGAAGATGCCTTCAAATGAGTTCCTCAATAAGCCTTTTTGCTACATAAATGTAATAAAATGCCTAAAATTCAGTTCAATAGCTAGTACAGTAATGAAATGAGAAATGATAATTCAGAAACTCAGTGGATATTTTTATATAGGATTCAAATTCAGTAGACAGGATGAACCAACTCTGCCCTAAGTTACAGAAGAACTGAGATACAAGCTTGTTCCAATCATCCAAAAAAGCCTTCCACTAAGAAAGATCTTTTTATTGCTTATACAGTCATATTTGAATCAGAGATATATAAACTTGATTCCCCAAGAAGGTTCCATTCTAGTTCTAAATTAAAGGAACATAAAGTACCTTAACGTCACCAACTAATGGGACTATTTCAAAACACAGAACAAAACCGTTGAGGTTCTTGTAAAACTCTACTGAGCTATTCTTCACAGCAAAGTGTTAGGTGCTATTAGACTCACAGACAACTACAAAGCTATTTGAGTCAGCCCTTTTTCAAGGCTCCTTTGTATTGTAGTAGCTTGAAGGCTGATAAAGTAGCACAGGCATTTGATATATGAGCGGTCAGGATTTGAAGCTGTTGGAGATTAGGCATAAGCGTCCTAAAGGATTGACCCAAAAGACACTTGGAGAAAACTGCCAGTTGACAAAATGAAGCAGAAGGGACTGATGGATATGCACTTGTTTCTCCTCATCCCACACTGCAAACAAGTTTGTTTCTGTCTCCTTCAATTTAAAACAGCTGCAGTTGGCTGACACTTCAAGGGGCTTAAATCAGTAATCGAGAGGTCAAAGTCCCAAGCTTGTGCCTTCCTACCAAATTTACATATCCAAGTATTGCATATACAGCCATTGGTAGGACAAAAAAATGAGACTAAAAACTGGACAAAAAAGTTGCCTTGCTTTCTTAGGAAAAAAAAAAAAAAAAGTAAAAACCTCTGGCTGCTATGTCCTTGTAGTAAATCACTGTTTCTACCAACTGTCCTGTTTCTGGACTATATGTGACTTTCCTATGGCCATCGAACTTTATGCTTCTATCACTGGAAGTACTAGCCAGAGGCATTATCACACCAGGTATTAGCTCTGGGAAAGGGAAAAACTGAAGGCAAACCTACAAGGAAAGCACAGTAATGACCTTGCACCTTTGTGCTTTTGAAGTCATTATCCTCCTGTTTCCAAAGCCCTAAAGCACAGAGGGACAGTATAAAACCACAGTTTCCCTTTCACTGCTTTAGAACCTGATTTTATCGTCCATACAAGCAGGAGCAGTACAACGAAACATAACTTTATTGCACATAACCTTATGTGCTACCCCAGGAAAACCCTGTTTTCCAGGGCTAAAGCTAATTTTTAAGTATTAAATATTCTATTAAAGCCTAAAATAAAATATAAAAACAACAACAAAAGCAATAAAACAAAACTCACAACCAACCAATAAATAAAAAAAATTCCACCCAAATAAACAGAACAAAGCCCTGACAGACCTCCCATCAGGTAGGAAACACCAAAAATAGCCACATGCTGAAACAGCAGCAAACATTTTGGAGGAAAGTAGACTGACAGTTTTCCTGCTGTACACTAATCTTAGTATTTGCCATGAATGTAAGTTAAAATATTTCTATTAAGAAGTATGGTTAATTATTTTCCTTCCATTTATTTACTTTTTTGCTGTTTATTGCTTTTTTTTGTTTTCAATTAAAGCATATATTAAAATTGAAAAATGCTGTGTATGTTTGTTTCACTCCCACAGGTCAGAGTTTGGGAGATTAACTGCTGCTCTTTTGGCTGAGGACAGTTACGCTGCTGTTCAAGGAGACATGCATGGAAGGGAAAACTGGACATTCAGAAACACCACCTCATGCATCAACTGCAATTAGAGTGCTTTTAAACTTGGCAAGGTGTCAGAAGCTATAAAACTATATTCCTCATCTCGTGTATTTGTACATTCACCAGGCCATGGTTAATGGCTTCCCGACTCATATTGCTGTCTTTCTTTAACAGCATTGACAGCAAAGGTGTCATGCTGCAGAAACAATTGCCTTCTGCATATCATTTAGCTTTCAAATCAAGTCAGCATATTTTTCTTCTTCCCCATTTAAGGAGTGATTTTGTCTATAGCACATCTAGGTTTGTGTCATAGCTTATCTTTCTGCAGTCAAGACGTCCTCAAAAACAATCACACAGGGACAGGCATTACTAAAACAAAACGTGTCCTAAAACCTTATAGTGCCTATGTAAAAGTATGACATACTACTACACTTAAAATGATACCAACAGCCACAGTGCACCCTCAAATAAGAGTTGCAAGGCCCAAAGAGCTTGTGTAAAAATATCCTCAGAAGATTCTCTTGAAACTTTACTTACAAAGATAGACTGCAGGAAAGATACTGTGGGCAGGTTGGACATATGTAGCTATAGTCCATAAAGATTTTGCTGAACTTGTAAAAGCAGTAAAAAAAACAAAAAACAAAAAAGAAACAAACAAAAAACAAAACCAAAACCAAAAGAACCCACCAAAACCTCTCAGATGTACAAAAATCAAATCCCAAACTGGTAAATCTGCAAATTTTGCATTAGAAGTTCTCCTAAGACAACCCTTACCTTCTGTTTTGTACAAAGTTCTGTTGTCTTTGAGTTATGGAACCAGCCACAAATGGTCCTGTTTTCATGACGTAACTATACAAATAAATTATAACCTAATAGAAAATACTAGAAAAGATACCTTTTCCCAATTTCAATATAAAAAATACTATAATAGTAGTGAGTAAACTTTTGTCTACTCCAGAAAAGGACACCACCACCACTAGAAGTTTTTAAGCATGTAAATCCCCAGTTCTTCTCTTGCCTATGATCATCTGAAGCTATTTAGGTCCAGTTCGATGAATTCAGAAATGGTCTCAGAATGATGGAAACAGAAATTTCCAGCAAATGTGCTATTGTTCTTTCACCCACCCAAAATCAGGCAGCTAAATTCAGTATGACTGTAAGTGCTCCTGTGCTCCTGATGACAGGAGAGGCTCAGAATGAATTAGAAAAAATACTATCACATCAGCAAATTATGATGTCAAAGCACAGCTGAAAAAGTTACGGAGAAAGTTGCTATTCAGGATCTTTCTGGTCATTTCCAGAAAGGTCTTCAGCAAAACACCTTGAGAACCAGAAATATTTTGATTTTTCTTCCAATTAATATCAACTACCGGAGAAAACAAAATGCCAGCATGCCAAGAAGAATACACTCAAGCCAGCCACTTGGTTCAGGAGTGTCAAGTAGTTCAAAGAGCAACTCTGGACAGCACAGCAGTGTTGCCTTGATCCAAGTCCTGGTCCTCTTGTGCCTGTATTACCCATATGATTGTGTTAACATTGAGAGACCAGCTCTTTCTCTCCTGTATTAGTTTGGTTAAAACACATCCTTTGGCACCCTGCTCAATGAGCTGAATTTGATCAGTGCAGAGCACTGCTTGGGCTCAGCTGACAATTTGATAAAAAGCTGTCACTATGAATGCATAAAACCTACTTCAGATCAGTTTTGAAAATGTATCAGCCACTAGAGTACATATTGAAGGAATTCAGGCTGTTGAAATCATACCTCTCCTTAATAGAGCGATCTGTGCCCTTGAGGTATATACCTCTATGACCAGAATTAAGCAGCTAAAAATAAAATGGCTGGAGGCCCTGGCTTTTCTTGTTTGTAACAAAAAAACAGCCTGGAGGCCACTGTTCTGAAATAAGTTTGGTTTCGGTGGGATTCATAACTCCATCTACACCAGCTGGTTGATATCCATCTCGCCCTAAGAAGAAAGCCTGTCAGTACTGCTATATTTTCCAGTCACTAGAATGCAATCAGTTGTAAGGATAAGGAAATACAAGAGGCCCCCAAACTAAATTCAGTCTATTTTTACTCTAAAATACATAAACAAGGACAGAGGGGAAAAAAGTAGTTTCTCAGGCATGTTACTGTGATTTCCATTTCAAATCAGGCTTGAATTATTTCCTTTCAACTTGCTTTCCACCCCCCTAAAAATTAACTTAATGTTGTTTGTTTAAGAGCTGGAAAGCTCTCCTGGCCCACT